TTTTCCAGTATCTGGAGAAACATCCACATATAGCATCCTCACCAAATGTTGCTTTAGCTGGTGTCTGTGCTTTTGTTAATGGCCACTTACGGTCTCAATGCATGCATTCTGCAGGCATCTTGGTGTCTAACTCTAAACTTATCTCTTGTGACAGAAAGATATCATCCTGATCTTTCCAAGATAGTAAATGCCTGAATTTTATTAGAAATCTAGTATAATCCGTGACCTCTTTCTTCTGTCTGCATCCAATCCCACACAAACTGTCATTTGTCACTATTTCAAAGGCACGTTGTTGCTGTTCCAAAGCAGGATACATTGTTTTGGTCTTGATTAACCTCAGAATCCACCATCTTTTACTTAACTGGATATACACAATTATGGACCACCAGCTGATACTTCATTAAAGGCATGGTGTGCAATGTTCAAGCCAAGGTAAATACACTGATCTCCACAAACATTTATCTTTTCCTTGTAGAGAAAACATTCAACACCATTTATTCCAGATTATTTTACAAATAGATAGTATGTTATCATTATTATTTGTTTGAAGACTAGTTTTTGTCTTACTTTTCTCTGTGTGTTGGAACAAATGACTTCAATCTCACTACCAACCTGTTTACTATCCCTTCATCATAGGTCTAGTTTTGAATTTTTCATAAGTCTAGCTTTGAATTTTTTGTAGGCATTGTATTTACCAGTCTACTCCCAATATCTACAAGGCAAACTTTTGTACATCCCACGTGTAAGTGAGTTCACATGATATGTGCCTTCTTTTGTTTCTGGCTTGCTTAATGTAGTGACCTCCGGTTCCATCAATGTTGTTGAAAATAGCAGCACTTTATTCTTTATACAGCTGAATAGTATTCCTTTAAATTCATCTATTCATCTGTGGATGGCCCTTTAGGTTGTTACCATTTGTTGACTTTTCTTAATAGTAGAGTTTTAACATGTAAGTATAGACATTATTTTGACACATTTATTCAATTGTTTTGGCTAACATCCAATATAATGATACTCTATTTCTAAATATTTGAGGAAAATCTCTATTGTTTCCTATAATGGCTCTTTTAATATATGCTCTAAAGTGTGCAAGGGTTTCCTTGTACTGTATCCTCACAGTCATTTGTTATCTGTGTGTGTGTGTGTGTGTGTGTGTGTGTGTTTGTGTGTGTGCTGATCCCAGGGTTTCACATAGTATAAACATGCTATGTGATCATGCCTAAACTCATCTCTTTTTTGATAACAGTTATTTAACTAAAGTGATTTTATTTTGCTATGTTCTGTATCTTCTTAGCAGCAGATGATACTCAAAACTTCATATATAAGCTAGTTATTTACATTGTCTTTTGAGAAATGTATATTAAGTATACTGTGCAGATTTAGAACAGATTATTCGTTGGATGAAATTTGACTTGCATTTTCTACCTAGTACTCTAGGTTATCTTTGTAATTTGGATATTAACTTAATTATATAAAGCACAAGTTTATTCTCCTGTTCTGTGGGCTGGCTCTGCTCTGTTGACCGTTTTCTTAGCTGTGAAAAATATGTTTTATTTTGTCCTATTTTTTTCTATTTTCACTTGTGGAAAGGAAAGATATGATCTCGTTTCTGCAAGCTCTTGTGTTCTAATGTCTTGAAGTGTTCCAAATCTGTTTTATTCTAATAGTGTCTTAGTGACATACTGTATTTGCATTTTCAATGCAGCTCATCCTAATTTTTATGTAACTGTGGAGAGATAGAGATCCGACTTCATTCTTTTTGCTTACAAAGACCCAGTTTCTAGAACCGCTTATTGAAAAGTCCATCTTTCCTCCTACTCGTGTTCCTCACACCATTTGTGAAGGTCAGTTGCTACAGATGCACACATTGGCTTCTGATATTCATTCTGCTCCACCAACTATGTGCTGTTCATGTTGCTAACACTGTGGGAGATGTTTCCAAACAACATAGCTTTTCAGGCTGTGCTGTGGCTACTGCTCCCTGGGTTTAGCTAGTTTTACAGTAAGAAGGGAGGCAATTAAAGAGAAAACTTGAATTTCAAATAGGGAAATAGAAAGTTGCCTTGAAGACGAGATACCAACAAAGACTCCAGACTTCAAACAAACATCAAACAAACAAAACAAAAGAAATTTCATTTGAAAGGAGAGAGACTGCTTTATTAATACCACCAAAGGGGTTCTCAGCTCCAAAACAACCATTTAGGAATTTTTCCCCAAAGTTTAATCACTAAGTGTGCAGAGGCCCTTGCAGCTATGGTAAAAGGACCAGACTACATCTTAACCTAGCATAGAGTTTGCAGCATCATTCATAGAGTTCTGATTTTATGAAAATTCAAAATGTAAAATGAATGGGTGATGGAAGCTGGAAATGAGGCTCCAAAAAGCTGTGAAGGCTACAAAAATCTGTGACATAATTTGATTCTCTACGAGGATGTCTTGAGAGGGTGTTGGAGGAAGCTGTGTTGAAGTTTAAGTCACAATGGATGACTCAGGATGTTGGAGGTGCCATGACTGTTGGATATTTGCAAAGAAAATCATAGAGTGAAACAGGGTCCAGGGAAGGCTACATGTATTCCAGGTACCAGGCGGGTTGTTCTGCAAGAACCTTGGTGACACCACACATTTTGGGTATTTGACAGAGTAGCTAGGCTTGGTGTTTTCCCTGTTGGGCTTTGGGTCTGCTTTGGTCAGGTATTTCTTTGTTATTCTCCTATCCATCCATTTTTAATAGGAATGCTTATTTTTGTGACATTGAATATTGGAAGAATATAACTGACTTGTTTACATTTTTTTCCAGAGTGCTCAATTATGAAATGGTTTTGAATCCCAGAAGGGACTTTTGGCTCTGAGTGGTATTGATCCTGCCTGTTAAGACTATGGGAATTTTGAAGTTAGATTGAAAATGTTTAAAATTATGAAATGTCCATGAGCCCATAGAGACAAGGGGTGGATCGGAGTGATTTTAAAATGATGTAGTACTTAGTGTAGTTTTGCGGCCTTGTGGGCTTTCTCCCATCTAATTTATCAAGCCCATTGTTGCTGTCCTTGTTTAGCTCATGTCTAACCAGCCTTGTTGATGAGATGTTATGGGTGTAGCTTCTGACATTTCTAGGATGAGCAATCTTACAGCCAACTCCCTGATCTTCAGGCTTTTACAATCTTTCTGTCTCCACTTACACCAAGATCCCTGAGGCTTCGGTACCAGAGTGATTTTATGGATATAGCCATTAGGATTGGAATCCATAGCTTCATATTTTGATACGTTGTATGTGTTGCAATTATATTATAATCTTTAAAAATTAATAATAATTTTTAAAAAAACTTGTATTTAGGAATCATGTGGACAAAGGGTGGATTGTTGATAGCTGTTCCTCATTGTCAACGTGACTGGGTTTTAGGATAACCTAGGAGTCAAGCCTTTGTGTATGTCTGTTTGAGTTTTTCTGGAGAAGTTTAACTGAGGAAGAAAGACAGCACTCTGAATATGTTCCTGGTATATAGCAGGGATAAAAAGGGGAAGGAGCAGGAGGTCTTGATGAGCAGCAGCACTTCTCTGTCTCTGCTCTGACTGCAGACCCCATGTGACCAGCTTTCCACTCTCCCACTGTCATGCCTTCTCCACTATGAAATAAAACCTCGAATTGCTTTTGCCATTTTTTTTGTCACAGCATTAGGCAAAGTATCTGATACACATTCTTGACAGGAATCAACACTATTTTCTCATAGTCCTCACTATCTTTCACTATTCTCTATTCCTTTCCCTAAATTTAGTTATCCTACATTTTTTGGGCCATGTCAGTAGTTAGGATGCCTTTTCTAGACAGCCATGTGACTAACTCCTTGTTTAAAAATAAAAAAAAAAACTTTGTATAAATATCCCCTTATCAGTGAGGTCTAATAAACTGAGAGTTCAAAGTTGTAATGTAATATACACTGCTCTTTCTCAGCTTTATATTTCTTTCCTTTATTTCTTTATTTTATTTTATAGCATCTGTTTTCTCTTGCCAAACTGAGATAATTTACTTAATTTTATCATTTATTGTATGTCTTTATTTATTAAAATATAAACTTCATTTTCTACATTAATTTGTTTACTAATGATATATGTGTATTACACCACAGTGCACATGACAGAGAACAATATTCAGATGTCAGTTTTTGCCTTCCCCAAGGCTCAAACTTAGCTCAAAAGACATGGCTACAAGCTCTCTTAACTACTGAGTCAACTAGTTGACCCTATATGCTAATATTTTTCTTTTTCATTCTCTTGAATATTTCAAGTGCTTATAATGGGAACTCCTAAGTACTAGGTACTCAGTTAACAGGCTGGAAGGAAAGAGCAATAATTATACTCTATTGGGACTTTCTTCTTTGCTCACCTGTTTATCACCAAATTATAAAATTTTTAAAGACAGAAATATTTTGCTTTGTGGCTATTTACACCTTAATACATTTCCCTAAAACAATGGCTATGTGATAAATATTTACTAAGTACAAGAATTCATTTCTCACCTCGTCATCCCAGAGGGTATGAAATATAGTGTGCAAAACCAGAGGAAAAATTCAAGATTCATTGTAAAGTATAACAGTATATACTTTATAACGTATATAAAGTATAAAGTATAACTCTTCCAAACTTGAAGAGTCCAATGTAGAGCAGTATGGTAAGATCTCTTATTCAGGTTTTATTTACAAGAATTCAGGGTCAAGAAAATGTCACAACAGCATTTGTAAAGGCATTTGCTTTCAAGCACGACAGCCTGAGTCTAATCCTTGAAACACGCCCTGTGGAAGGAGGGAACCAATCCCTACAAGCTCTCCTCTGACCTCCTCATGTACACACTGTGATTTATGCATATACACATGAATAAATTTAAAAAGACTCAAGAATTCACTGTAGTTTATTTTCGCAGTTTCTCACATTTTTACCTGTGCTTGTATCTGAGATAGCCATGATGAACCATGCCTTATTTAACTTCTCTTTTTGTTTCCTTTCTCAGAGCTCTTCCTGCCATGATGCAGTGGGTCCGCACCCAGAAGCCAGGAGAGAGTGGCATCAATATTGTCACTGCGGATTTTGTAGAACTTGGTGATTTTATCAGCACTGTCATAAAACTCAACTATGTCTTTGATGAAGGAGAAGCCAACACTTGATATTACTCTTTGGAGTGTCCATGAGTAAGATAGAGAAGCCTCATTGTATTAGACATATTCTCAATACACCCTCTGAATTTCCTATTCCACCAAGTCTCTGAAGGACTTAGGGATGGTAACGAGTGGAAAAGAGGGTATACCGTGTCTTCAGTGATTGTAACCATATTCTGCATTACTATAAATATGTCATTTCCCATTTGGTGAGCAAAATCTACTACTAGTGTTAGGAATAGAAAAGAACAGTGAATTTTGTTTTTAAGAATTAATGTTTGTGATATGTAACTCATGAGTGTTTACTTGACTGCATTTTCTAATTTCAACCTCGGGCTCCTATATTATTCATACCCTTTACCCTTTCCACTCCCTCTCTCTTGCTTGCTCTTTCTAATTAGATGCTATATGGGTCTCAAAACAATTGAATGCCCAACGTAATGTGTATTACATTGTTGTACTGAAATGTGTTTGTTTTGTGAGATTTGATAAAATATTCCATAGTCATCTGCAATTGGGCAATTGTAGCTAATTCTTGATCATAGAAAATATGCATCAAATCTGTTTCCCTGCATCGGTAATATTGGCAGTCATTAGTGATTTTTGTGTTCTATGAAAACAATGGTGTTGCAGAGTATTTCCGTGTGAGGCAGCTATGACTACTGTGCAAAAAGGTTGTTTGGAAAGACTGTGAGCATCAACTTTATATTTTAAAAAGAATAAAAGAAGACTGTAATCAGAGATAGCTATAATTTTAATTCAGCAGTCTTAAATAAGAATGCCTTGCAAATGTCAAGTTACAATTGTGTGGCAATCAGAAAAAAATTAAATCCATAAAAACTTCTCTTAATAATTTTAATTTTTCTTGAAAATCTAAAAGAAAGACCACCATAAGGCTCTCCTATATATTTGGGATTCCAAATGCATAATTCTAAAACCCAGATTATGAAAAACAGTTTTAAAGACGCTTCATTTATGTTTATAACTTATAAAGAAGAAGGTGAAGAAATGTAGAGGGAATTCCAATAACGCTTCTTGAGACTCAATCCATAGTCTCTAAAGTTCCTTCACAAATTTTTTCAGTATGTATGATCTCTCCAGACTGAAATTCAGTAAGCAGTCTGGGTTCCTTGCTGCTTGCGGTGAGAAAAAGGCCAAGGAGCTGAGGTCTCATGCAAAGTTTCAGTGGCATCCCTTTTGGTAATACAAGAAAAACAATGTTAACACACTTTTGAGTGCTGTATTCTACTTGTATCTTTGTAGTATTTGGCAACTCCAAAAACAAACTTCAAAGGGCATAATCCCCCTCTCTATGTTTCACACGAAGATCATGAGGTATTTATTAAAAACTATACAATTGCTAAAGTTCCTAAAATTATGGATTATTTTATCTTCACACATAGAAATAATTAACCTTCAGTAGTTTCCTGGGATAATGGATTTCCATGCACATCGTACCCCTGGAGAAATCAAAGCATGGCCTTGGCTTTTAATTAATTTGAATGGAGGACATATGAGTTAATCCCTTTGACCTAGATAAGGAGTTGGTTTAAAGTTTACATCTCAATATTATAAATAGCCAAGAGTTGACTTAGATTGTAGATACTCTTCATTAGAGAACTGCACTTTCTAACAAGTACAGAAAGTGAAGAAAAAATGATATACCAAATAGAATGTTTGTGGAAAATGTGGTTTCTTTTTAGAATAAGTAAGGTGACTGTACATGCAGCAGATAAGTTTATAATTCCAGTTGTGTGTGTGTAATTTGTCACACATACTCTGGTGCAGGCAAGCTGATAATGAGATACACAAACACACACAGATTATATGAAAACATAGGATAATTGTCTTTAAATAAAAACACTGGTTATTAATAAGTAGTATAACTTAAAGATGAATCCCAGAGCCAGGCATGGCAGTACATGCCTATAATCCCAGAATATGAGAGACAAGAGAATTAGTATTTCTTCAAGAGTAGCCTGGTTTATACTTTGAGCTCAAGGTTATCCTGAGCTACATAATGAGATCCATTCTCAAAAATCTAAACAATAAAATAAAAATATCCTCCTTTAGCAATGTATGGAAAAATGTTACAAAACATTTGAAAATGCAGTAGTTTATCATTTAAAATACTTTTTATAAAACCATCACAGCTTGGGTCTTAATATTCACAAAGCATATTTTTCTTTCTTTGTTTATCTATCCTCTGCAAGTCTATTATCTGTCTGTTTCACTTGATCTTTTGTGCAGATGAATAGGAACTCTGTTTAACCAATTGTTGACATTATTCTCTATAAATTTTCTTTTGGAATCAATCTGCTCTGTGATTACTCAATATTGATGCCTCGTGAGCATCTATAGCCAAGCACAGTTGCAATGACACAATTATTTAACTTTACAATATGACAAAAAGAGATTCTTAATCTGTTAGCCAAAAATGAATGCAATGTTAAAGTAACTTTATTGTATTTTCTTGAATTTGGATGTTTTACTACAGTGTTAGCACAGAGTCAACTTTGTGATATTGTTATGTGTACTGGGAAGAATAAATATAATGAAGCATTAGACTAAAATTACTTAACTAGGAAAGAGGGTTTGTTTGTTTGTTTGTTTGTTTGTATTGAGGATTTTGCCATTAAAGATGTCTACACAGAAGTTTGTTAGCAAGAAATTACTTTCAGTCTGAACTTATGATTTCCATATGGATATACAGTTAGTTTCCGGATAATAGGCGCTGAGATAAATGGACTTGCCTTAACTTCTAAATAAGGACTAAGATAGAAATAAACCCCAAGAGAGTTCACTAAACGAGATTTCCGGGAAAGAAAATGGAGATAAGGTGCCTTTAGGTGTCTTCTGGTCATTGGCCCGGCTGTGGAGCACATTCATAGAGCAGACTCATTTTATAGAGAAATGATGATATGCAATTCAGTCAGACCCTTAACTATGCTTTGTCTTTCCAGAGAGCAGGGAGCATGACGGCTACACATAGGCTTCAAGTGTAGCTATGTCTTGATGTCCTTTTTGTTTTCCTGACACTTTAAAACACTTTGTGTTACAAGTCCTATAAAGCAAAATATAAAATAAATAAATAGCTAAAATCCAAGTTTTACTCAACCTGTGGCAATGAAGCCAAGGAGTGAGTGGAAAAAGGGAAAATACTCAATAAAAACATTTTTTACATTTGCTTTCCTGTCGATTGCTCTGAAGGACCAATATAGCAAATATTTCTGCCATTACCATTTATGTCTCCTTCTTACTACACAGAGAACATGGAGAACGAGGAGTTATCCTTTAAAAGCCTTAGGGAATTCTATATGGTAACCTCAGTGTTCACTTTCAGCCATATTGGGGAAACTCAAACAGAGAATGTATCAGAGAATAAAATATTTGGCAAGACACACACACACACATTGTTGAAGTTGCACTCAGTCAAAATGGTTCTCTTGAAATCAATATATTCTGTGTTATCAGGCTTGACTATAGATCCAGTTTTTCAAGGCTTATGGGGAAAATCATTATAACACCAATAAAAAGCGAGACCATCAGAAAATAGAAGCTTCTAGCAGTAGCGCTCTATACTGTCAATTAACCTCAAGATACAAGATCTAATGCAAACTTGAATATAAATGTTTGAGCATGTACACATCTTCACCCAAAGGTGTTGAGTCCTCTAATGTTCTGAGGTGTTTTCGGCAGTGCCCCTGTCCAGGCTCCTATCTGTTAGAATCACTGACTGGAGAGTTGGAAGTCTCAGGAAATGCACGTATCTGTTAGTTTTCAGTCCTACCATTTTACAAATATTTAATCACACAATTTTCTAACTTTTCTTTGGTTAGTCAACCAAAGAGGAGATGAATAGGTCAAGTGCTTGCATCCTGAACTGCTAAGAGAAAATAATACACAGTGTCTGTCCCTCAGGAGATGCTAAATAAGATGTCTAAAGAATTTTATTTTGCTATAATTTTAGTCTTTTACACTAGTTTTTCAGTGACAACATGGTGTGAATGCTCTATTTGCTATAACTTATTGGTGACCCTGTAAAATGTACAGTTTAAAATAATGTCCTAATTGTTTGTTTTCCCGATGATGATAATAAAATATTCTATAGAATTTGTAAAAGGTGTTAATAGAAAATTGTGTAATTTTTATTTTACTTGTGATACAATTTTGTAGTTCTTAGCTCTGAGCATACATTTGTATGAGTCAAAACTGTCAGTGGTTAGTGTAATTATATTGTATCTTCTTAAAAATCAAACTTATCCTAAAGAAAAAGGGCACATCATGACTAGCCTTAACTCATTTTCATTTTTGCTTTGTTTTGTTTGGGCTTACTAGAATTGCTGCAATTTGAATTTTTTTTGCAAAAATCATATTTCTTCTAAAGATGTCACTTAATCAATCTTACGAAGCATATGCTTTAGAAAGAAGCTGAGTTCTCACAACTCCACTGCCCAGGTTGTTCATTAATTATGTTTTTGAAAGTACCTAATATCATTTAGTTCACCAACTTCATTATACACCAGAAAACTAAATTAACTTTATTTCCATCAGCTTCAGAATCAGCGCCAAAATTCCAACACAGTATTTTGTAATGGTAGATCACTTCTACTTTAATGGTAAGGTTTTCATAGAAAGTCATTTCTCTAACCCACTGCTTTTGAAGTTTGGATCATATGAAATCAGATGGACTGCCTTGGATCTATGAGAATCACAGTTTTATTGACATGAGATGATTCCAATCTGATTTGCTTTTCAACAAAATCGATAACAACACTCCTCTTTCTCTCTGTGTGCAACAGGAGACTCCCAATCAGTCTACAAAGGGGGTCATATTGGAAGCAAAACTCTAATCTATTTTAAGCTTCTATTCATGAACATTGCTTCCTAATTTCTTCCATTCTTGGTTATTTATTTTTAATGGTTACAGTTGCCACATGAAAGAAAGAACAGCAGTGAAATTAAGATCTCAGATAAATAATATGTTATTGAGTTTTCTATATAATTCATCATAAATGCTTCCACTAAAATTCCTATTTACATAAGGTTCAATTTTAAATGGATGAGGTCTTCATTGCTTCCTTTAATCTGGTAACACTATGCATAATTCCTTCCAGTCTTTTTCAGCTGGTGGCTGTGAGCTCTGAGATCATCCTCCTATATTAACACAACTCATAAAATCTGTTGTTTTGGTTCCTTCATGAAGAAAATATTGTTTTACACGAAACCTATGGATGCTTTTCAAGAATCTTCCCAAAAGTCATTTGAAAAATCAAACAAGTGTCTTCATTAGATGAATGCTACCAAATTCAATTTTCCCCATAATGGCTTGCTGGAGGACTAGACTCTACCTAATATTTCTGAAAATAGAATCCCCCAGTTATTGAGACAACCAAACACATAGCACATATTAAAAACTTCTCTTGGAAAGTGGGAGTGCCATCTAACTCAAGACCAAAGCTTGTTTCTAAAATTCAGTGTGTTTTCCTTTGAGAGAGGAATCAAATGAATCCACCATCCCACTCCATCTCATTAACACCTTACAATTATTTTGTGAATTACAAGTAGTCATCTATGTGACTGTAGAATATTTGATGAAAGGAACTCTTTAGTGAGTGAGAAAAGAATCCAAGAGAAATACGGTCTAGGCCTGAGGGTTTGTTCCCACGTTGAAGGATGATTCTAGGCAGTCAATGAGGACAGAAAGTGATCCGTGGGGTAATGCCCACGCCACAGAGAGTTGCTGAAACAGATTGTATGTGCAGTTGGTTTTCAGGAACTGAAACCAAAATACCCTGAATATGAGCTATGAGATCTAAGTCTGGTTCCGATATCAGCTTTAGAACACTGGGACCATGCCCGAATTCCTAAATAAATGCCCAGTGTTTCCAACATAGAGTCCTTCATGATCTGAAGATGAATGAAGTTCTGGAAACTTCCTGATAGCTACCTCCTCTCTTAAAATTCCTATGATAAACATAGGAAACCTAAATCCCATCATATGTTTCCATCTCGTGATTGCTGCCAATACATATTTGTGTTGATTTGCTTCATTGCTGGAGAACAAGACTGTGTAGAGCTACTGATGTTTCCCTTCATGAACCCCAGGAAGTCACCAGAGCAAGTCATTCCTGTGCCTTCTCTTTTTAGGATCTGTTCGTTGATACTTCAGTACATGTGCTGTTATGAAAATCCATGCCTGTAGTCTATATAGAAGATGTGATTTTTTTATATATGAAATTGTGTTCTTAATGTTAAAAGAGTTTATTTGTAGCTAGTGAAATTGCTTAATAAAGTCCTGGTACCAGTTTTGCTTATTTTTCCCAATTTATATTCAGTCATGCTTCATTATAACAAAATGGATCTTTCAAGTTGAATATGATTAAGAACATCTTCAAAAACAATAAACAAAGCCCAGGCATCATCACATCAGGATTTTCTTTACACAAAAAAAAAATGTTTCTGTGATAATAAAAGAACACATTGCATGCTTTGGTTAAGTTAAAGTGTGTCTCAATGTTGAATGTAACTATCTTTTGATGCCATCCCTTGGATGGTAAATATCAACACATAATATATAATATAACTTCTTGCTATGACAGAGCCTCTCAAACTAAAAGCTTAAGGTGAGGGAAATACACTGATGAAGCTCCCACTCTGAATAACACAGAAACATTTGTTTCAGAAATAGAGTTGCTTTTGTGTTGCACCAAATAGTCCTAATTATTGGGAGATGCAAATCATGCTTTACTAAAAAAAATATTCTAAATGCTATAATAGTACTCTAAAGGCATCTGACAAAGAAATATAGTTAAAAATTCACTTTATAAATCCACTAGTTTTAGTTTGATTTCTATTGCTGTCAAAAGCAGCATGACCAAAAGCAACTTGGGGAGGAAAACATGTGCCTCAACTTATAACTCCCAGGTCACAATTCATCACTGAATAGAGTCAGGGCAGTAACTCAGGATAGGAACCCGGAGGCAGAAATTGAAGTCAAGGCTGAAACTACGGAGAATGGATACTTACCAGCTTTCCCTCCAGGGCTTGCTCAGCTTCCTTTTTGTTTACCACCTAGAAACCTGACCCAAAGGATCACCTCATATAGTGAGATGGGCTTTCCTATGTCAATCATTAATCAAGGAAATGCCCCACAGATATGGCTACCAATCAATTGGATGGAGGTATTTTTTGTGTTAGTGTGTCTTCCTGTTGTTGTTATCTTTGAAACAAGGTCTCACTCTGTAGGCTTGACTGCCCTGGAACTCAGTATGAAGACCACGTCAGCCTCAAACTCATAGAGATCAGCCTGTCTCTGCCTCCCAGAGAGCTGGGTTTAAAGGCTTACTACTTACTACTACCTAGCCCTTGAGACAGGTTCTTAATTAATGTTCCTCTTCTCAGATAACTCCAGTTTGTGTCAAGGTAACAAAACCCATCCAAGACTGTTTGTTATATGTGTTTAGATTTACGACATCAGAAGATCTCTACATATAAAGCTGTAATGATTTCCAAATTTAGGAAGGAAGTATTAGTGTTCTACAAACACTCTTTGACAAGATCACAGCTATGCTTTCATGGCAGACATTTCAATAGCCTTGTTCAGCAAATATTTAACCTACTACGTGACAGACTCCCACTAAGCAAAGCAAGACATTTCTAAAATGTTCCTTAGAGGGCCTGATAAAGTGCATATTTGATAGATTCTGACAAGATATAACAAGTGACATGATTTTGCTCCTAAAGAATCAAATAAACATGCTCAATGACCTTTTCTATGTGTTATTTCTAAGGAGTAAAATGTTCAAACATAGGTTTATATTCCTGAGACCTAAGAAAGAAGCTATCTTTCTTAATTCTTACTATTTGTTCCCAAATATGATAAATATAATATAAAATATAAATATGATAGAAAAAAGTTAGTTATACCAACAGTAAATTAAGATCAGTTCCTGATCACAATGGTACAATTTCAACCACTGTGACAGCCAGAGGTTGAGAACTCTGAAAAAGAAGCATAATATTCTCCACCCCTTACCCTCAAGTACCTTCTGTCCCCACTCCTTGCCCTCCTTTAACTTTTGTCTTCCCCTACCCATCATCCTTCCTCTACCCCTTTTCTGTCCTATAATCACTGTATTCCCCTACCCCTTCTTCTTCCTCTAGTCCTATTGCTTTCTCTTGTTCTCCCTTTACCTGCTGTCCTCCCTCTACCCCTTGTTCATCCTCTACCCCTTGTCCTGTGTATCACCACGTGACTGTGGCTTACCAGCAAGATTCTAACTGGTGTCCGTCTCAGGCAGAAGATCCATGGCATCTCTCACTCTGGTTCTTCCTCCCAGAAACCAGTTCTGTTTTTCCCACCTACCTAAGTTCTGCCCTATCAAAAGGCCAAGGCAGTTTTTTTTTTTTTATTCATTAACCAATGAAAGCAATACATGAACAGAAGAACCTCCTATACCACATCCACCTCTGGATAGCTATGCCTTGGAGCCAGCTTTACAACACTGGCTTTAGAGTTCAAATTCCCCATCAAGTAAATCAGATCACTGATTTTTAAATGAATTTGATTGAAGACATTGTAATGGGGAAGACGGATATAATCTTTATACCCCATTGGTTTCCCATGGCTAGTTAACCAACTACAACTAGCATCAACTTGAACTTGAGTGAAATCAAATGCACCCATTTTGAAGAGAGATCACACAGAAAGTAAAGCCTAATTCATCTCATCAAGTGAAAAGAGAAGCCCTTATGAGAGGGGATTATACATGAAATTTGAACAAGATAGATTCAAAGCAAAGAAGGAACAGGTAAAGGGGACAGATGCCTGCTTCTGGGCATATCACAAAGAGGGCAGCTGTGTGATGTTCCATGCATAATCTCTGCACTGGAAGTTTGGCTCCTGGCTTGTGAATTGAGAACTGAGCAGCTTTGCTAGGTCAAAGCGACTTAAGTCCTCCATACGAAGAGGAGTTGTTTGTTCATGCTGACAGCATTTCAGACAGCTGCTCTCGCTTAAGAAGAGGTTACTCTGACACACTGGTGCTGCAGTGTGCCCTGGGATGACTTTCTCCTGGCTTCCCAGAGCTGGCTTTATATGCATCTGCCTGCTATTCCAGGCCATTCCGATTTTACTTTCTCAGTCTGAGCTGATTTCAACCTGTTCTGTTTCCAAGTGAGACAAGTCAACTCAAATTACTTTAAACTAGAGAGAGGGAGGGGTTGCCTTTTCAAACTAATTAGAACTAAAAGGAGAGGTCGTTCTGGCTGCACCTGCAGCTGAAGGCTCAAATAGTATTATGGAGGCTTGGTTTTTCCTGTCAGCTTCCCCTCTACCCTGGCTGTATCAATACAAAATCTTTTCATACTGAATCATTATGAATAATGAAACTTCTCTCTTATAGTTTTATCTCAAAAATAGAATGGAGTGTCATTGGTCTCAGGGGGGCCTAAATGTGTGCAGTGTCTAAGAACAGCCAGCCTGGCATAGCTGCTCGTTCCAATACTTGTAGCTCTGTCATCAATATATCCAGGCATCCTTGGGTTAAAACACACACAGAATAAAATATTTGAAAAAAGGAAGATACATCTAAGCAAACTTTTTTCCCTTGTAGTCATTCCCTAATAAGTATAATGCAAGACTTATTGGTGTAGATTTTACATTATATTACAGATAGAGCAGAGACAGTATAAAGGAGTAGTTCCCCCCCCCCAGGGAGTAGGCATAGTATATATTCAGACACCAAATTCTCCGAACAAAGAACATTTGTTACCCCAGAGAGATAAGCATGGGGACCGGATTGGGGGACTTAAAAGCCTAACAACAAGCAGCAGCAAGCAAGCAGCAAGCAGGTGGGTTTTTTGTTTTGATTTTGGTTTGGGGTTTTATTTTTTTCAGGAGTGAGTTTTTAAGAAGAAAAGGGGGGAGTCTGTGCTACAGTAGAGTGGTAAATCCTGGTTGGACATGTTAGCCAAATAACGAATTTTGATTGTTGGACCTTGGTGTTTGTCTCAGGAATGAGTCAGTGGCCAAATGAAGGAATAGACCTTGCAGGATAGCTTTAGGAATGTAATCTAACAGTCTTTAGCAAGGGAGAAAGAAAGGGGTAAAAGGGCAAAACCTGTGAGCACCATGTTTGCCGTGCTCATGCTCAGGCCTGCTGAGGAATCCTGCAGATGGACTTTACAGTATAGGGGAGAATGTGCTTGTTTGGGGTTGTTTGTGTAGTAGATGTGATCTCTGGAGATTTTTAGTATACACGGAAGTCCTAGGAGACATTGCTCACAAACAGGCAGGACAAGTGTACACGGGTCACTCCTCTTCTGTCCACAACCTTCTCAAGTCACTGTTATGGTTGCAAAGAAAACTGAAGCTCTGCTACAAGAAACCAATCAAACAAATGAAAGAGAAAAATGAAAGTGTTCTAGTCTGGCCCAAAGAGAAGATCTGTATTCTGCAAAAACCCCACAGAGTCTCAAGCCAAGTCAATAAATGTGTGTGTCTATTTCATGAACTCAGTAGGTTTGCCTCAAGTTCATTCATAACTATTCTGAATCCTAGAAAAGATGAAAAACTAAAAGTGAACATTAATGAACTCTATTTTTAAAGTTTTCATGTTTTTCATTTCAAATTATTTTAAACTTCTAAGAGCAAAGTATTAGAAAAAATATATACAATTTTTTCTTAGAGTAATTGTTAATTTAATTTTTAAATACTAAGTTCTTATAACCTTGGGAATATCATTTCTAGATTACCATTCATATTCCAGCAGTAGATTTTCTTATTGAAGTGTTAAAATCAAAAACTATAAGAATATGTTTTCATCCAAAATTCACATCATATGGAAGCACCACAAAAAAATATTAAATAAAGGCAAAGGTTCATATTAAAAAGAAAATGTCTATGATATATGGGATGTGGGAGAGAATTAGATTCACTCTGTAGTATGAATGAGGGCTAGAGCTTTTCTATGAAGGAAGGGATAGACAATTCAGAAAAACTATTCCCAGAAGAATCTAATACTGTCAAATTAATGGTTTGACACGAGGCAAATAGCAGAGTGCTGATAGCAGCAAATCATACCTCCTTCATCAGCACTAACAGTGAAATACCCCACAGTCATTGGCCAGATCATACCTCCTTCATCAGCACTAACAGTGAAATACCCCACAGTCATTGGCCAGCTTCTTGAGTCACTGCTGAAATCATTAACTGAGCCAAATACAGTTACAACCTGATATGAGGTGTATCTAAATCACAAGGGGGACAAAGTGAGGCGTGAGTATCAATGTTCAGGGATGCTCTA